AATGTGATACAACGCAGCCAAGAAATGTATTTGTATTCACAGGACTCCTGTAAAATTAGCAAAGATATATCATAACTGTGACAATCTATGTTGGAAATGTAAAGAAAAGGAAGGAACATTTTATCATATGTGGTGGACCTGCCCCAAGGTGAAAGACTTCTGGGAAAAGATATATAACGAATTGAAAAAAATGTTGAAATATACATTTATAAAGAAACCAGAGGCCTGCCTTCTTGGAATAACGGGTTTGGAATTGCCCAAGAAAGATGTTAAATTATTTTTGTATGCTGTAACTGCAGCTCGTATTTTGTTAGCTAAAAAGTGGAAAAACCCAAGAATTACTAACGATAGAAGAATGACAGATGAAGATGGATTTTTCAAAGCTAGCCAACCTAACCGGAAGAGTCCACGACCAGAAGGAGTATCAGGAAGATCAAATTGAATGACTACTTAGTTAAATATTTTAAGTTAAACTAACTGAAAACAGCTTGCAGATACTTAATTGGCTTAGGATTTTATTTAAGTTAAGTGATGAATTAACATGCTTAATTTCATAATGTGAAGATCTAAGGATGTGAATGTTTAAATTTTACAAGAACTGTGATTTGGAAAACCGTTAAAAGGACATGCAATGAAATTCAACCAAGAGGAAGCGAGGAAGTCACTTAACAATGTTAATAAGTGCAATTTTTAAGGAGGTTACGATTTATGTTTGTTTTATGTGTTTGTTTGTTTGTTTGTTTGTTTGTTTGTTTACAATGCTGTGAAAACCAATAAAAACTTTTGGGGGGAAATGTATTCGTATTCATAACGCTAAATGCGCAGGTGCGATTTAACTATGACCATAATCGATATCAGCTCCCCTCCTCCCTCCCCCGCCCTTCGCGATGAGCTTCCCGGGGGAAAAGCTCCGCCTTGTCCCGAGTGCGCCTGCGCGCTGTGGGGAAGGAGACGGCGAGAGAGAGAAGCGCGCTCGAGGCGGGCGGACTGAGCGCGCGCACGTACGCTACGCACGCGCGCGCGCGCGCCGAGACACGCTCCCTCCCTCGCGCTCCCTCGCTCTCGTCCCCCCTCCCCCTCCCGAGCGGCGTTGCTTGTGCGACCGAAGGGGAGGGAAGATGGCGGCCGGCGGCAGTGGCGGCGGCGGCGGCAAGGCCTCCTCGTCGTCGTCGTCGTCGTCCTCCTCTTCTTCGTCGTCGTCCTCCGCCGCTGCGGCGGGCGGCGGGGGCGGGCCGGCCTCCTCGTCGTCGTCGTCCGGCCCTCTGGAGGCGTCCCTGGACAGGAAGCTGCAGGGGGTGACCAACACCATGGAGTCCATCCAGGGCCTGTCGTCGTGGTGCCTGGAGAACAAGCGGCACCACAGCACCATCGTCCACCACTGGATCAAGTGGATGCGCAGATGTGAGTGCGCGGGGGGGGGGGCGGGGAGAGGCTCACCTGCGGGCCTGGGAGGGGGGGCAGGGAAATGGGTGGCGGCAAAGGTGGGATACCTGGCGACGCCTCCTCCGCCACCTTTCAACAAAGCCTCGCTCCCGCCCGGATATACGCGTCAATTATTTTATTTTATTTTTGCACACACATATATCTGTATTTTGGTGTTTTAAACAGGATTTCCAAATAGCTGCTTTCCAAAAAAAAAAAAAAGTTCTTTTTGCATGCGGTTGTCTTGAGCTGGCGTTTCTGTTATGCGCCGCTTTTCTATGTGGCGTGTGGATAACACAAGGGGTGTGGGATATACCTGGCATCGCCATCGCCGCCGCCGCCTCCCGCGTTCTTCTTATTTCAAGGAGCCTTGTAATAATAATAATAATACAAAAGGTCTTCCTCCCACTTGGTATCGCTCCCGGATCTGAATTGGTTTTTTTACATGTGCTGTTTGAAAAGGTTTGCCGCTGCTGTTCTTTCATTAAGTTGCTTTTGTACGCAGTTGTTGTCAAGGGCTTTTATAAATGTAACTTTTTTTTATACGCTGTCTGTCTGTCTCCTCTCTGCCACCTTCCTTTTTCAACCAGCCTTCTAAAATCTTTGCCTCACTTGGTATCTGTCTCGGATCTGAATTTTTTAGTGTAGGTGCTGTTGTTTTGAACTTTACCTGTTGTTTCTATAAATGTAACTGTCATATATGGCATAATTTATAGGAAGTTGCTCCAAGATGATTCTTGGGGAGCAGTTCATAAATAAAATTATTAATAATGATACCTATGTGTCGATTTGCTTGGTGTTTTATGCAGGGTGCGATATTACTATGATGGTGAAGATTTTACTTGGCTTTGTATATCATACGCATTATTAATATTTTTGTGATGATGACCATTAATGTTATTATGTTGAGGGTACTGATCCTGTATCTCTCTGTGTGGATTTTAGTTGGTAGTTTTAATTGTTGATATTACTATAATTATTCATAGTGCTGTTGTATCAATGTAGATTAGCAGTTTATAGAGGGTGCATTATTATTACTGTGATTATACAGTACTTCTCTGGTGGTAGCACTGATGATGCGTACAGTATTTCTGTGTAGATTTTATTTGGAAGTCTATCCAAAGTGCGTAATTAAGGTTGCCATGATTATGATAATTGATGCTACAACAGAGGCACCATCTCAGTACAACATGTAGCTTTACTTGACAGTTTATAATGGATGCATTATTAGTAGTATTGCTGTGATTATTATGGTGGTGCTGCTGGTGTGTATATCTTAGTTGGCAGATTTTAGTTTATAGTTTAGTTTATAGTGTGCATTATTTATTTAGCTGAAAGACAAGGATTTGTTTAGACAAGTGGCAAATGCTTCCTCCCTGCTTCCCTCAGGGTAAGGTAGTCCTTCAGAAGTCCCTGTTTTGGCATTGTATTAACAGTACTATGATAAGCTACGTTGTGGTGGTTGATGATGATGTTGTGCGCAAAATCACTTTGTAGAATTATTATTAATAATAATAATAATAATAATAATAATAATAATTTATTTATTTATTTATTTATTTATACCCCGCCCATCTGGCTGGGCTTCCCCAGCCACTCTGGGCGGCTTCCAAAAGAATATTAAAATACTGTCATACATCAAACATTAAAAGCTTCCCTAAAGAGGGCCGCCTTCAGATGTCTTCTAAAAGTCTGGTAGTTGTTGTTCTCTTTGACATCTGGTGCCTTTGATATAGGGTGCACTATTACTGATATTCCTACATTGATGATGAGGACAAATGCACTATGAACTTTCACTATGTGTGTGTGTGTGTGTGTATAATCCATCAATCAGTCTCCTTTATTGGCATAGAAAAAGTTCATCATATACATGGATCTGAACACTTACCCACAGTTTGGAATGAGGCACAGTGGAGTCTGTGGTGTCTTCATCACATATGGTTTATTTACACATATATACCACCTCAGGCTACGATGGAGGGGTTCACAGCATTAGCACCCCAAGAAGGGCCTTGCTTCCCCCATAGCTGCAGCCTTGGGTGCCTGCAGAAATCAGGCTTGACTCTTTCCCTGCATTTCAAGCCTGCAGCTTTTCCTGCAGCTTCTAGCTCACATCACTCAACTCCAGCCTTCTGAGGGAGGGAAGCCCACCCTTTTGCCTTCTGGTTCCCTTAGGGACCCATACTTAGCGGGCCATTACCAGGCTGGCCTGGCTATTCCAGCAACTGAATCCATGCTGGATCCAGGAATCAGGAGTGGGGGTGCTCAGACATACATCCTACCCCACCTCCATACTCGTGTATCAGGGAAGATGTGAGTTGTAGTACAACAACTTTGGTCTTTGGAACAGCCCTGCACAGTGAAATAAGAATGGAGAGAATAGATGCAAGGGGGATTGGGTGGGATTTCCTGCCATTGTTTGTGGTTATTGGTGTGTGTGTGGGTGTGTGTAAGTGTAATGTTTTGGGAAGGACCGTAGTAGTAGAGCATCTGCTATGCATTCAGAAAGTCTCAGGTTCAATCGCCGACATCTCCAGGTAGGGCTAGGAATGATTCCCGCTTGACACTCTGGAGAGCCACTTCAAGTCAGTCTAGAACAACATTGTGCTAGATCAGGCATGTCCAAACTCCATTTCGGGGGCCTAATCCGGCCCGCCGGTCAGTTTAATCCAGCCCCTGGGGGTAAAATCCTAAGAAGCCTCAACAACTTCAATCCTAAAAAAAGATCAACAACTTTGGTGGGCCAAAGCTTTGGTTGGCCCCCACGGCCCTTCACTTCATCAAATCTGGCCCTCTTTGAAAAAAGTTTGGACACCACTGTGCTAGATGGACCAAAGGTCTCGCTCAGGATAAGTCTGCTTCCTCTGTTGCCCCTAGATATGGAATTATAGAAAATCACATCTATGTGGATGCAGATCTCACTTGGTGACTACTGTATATCTTCTGCATCTACAGATGAAGGGTGGTGTACAAATTTAGTATAACAGGTTTAGTATAACTCTTTAACAGGTCTTTATGATAAGAATTACTATGATGGTGATTCTTGCTGTTGATGCAACCATTTGGGATTGGTGCAGTGTACACACTTAAATGTTTATGCAGAGTGAATTTTCCTTGGTGCTCCTTGCAAGGGTCCCTGAAGGTGGGCTGAATATGAAGGGATTGCAAAGCGGTGGTGAGACCCTCTGCTTTATGATCAGCAAGGCAGCAAGAGGACAATGGAGGGTTAACTTCCTCTACAGGGGAGGAGAACAATGCGCTGTCCTCCTTGGAGGAAAGGAGTGATAAAAATGCAGTAAATAAATGGATAAAATAACACAAACTTTGTCATTCCCCACTTCCCCTTCAGAGTGTTCAGAGGCAAATACTGTATGTAACTTCTGCCTTGTAGCAACCCTTTTTAGTGGGCTAAGAATGGGGGCGCTGGGGCAGTGCAAAGGGGTCTGCAATCTGTACAGAGGTGATGGTGTGAGGGTGATGTTTAAGGCTGCTATCCTGCACCTGTGTTACTTGGAATTAAGTTCAGTTGAACCCAGCGGGGCTGGCTTCTGAGAGAGGGTCTGTGGTATGGCAAGCAGGCTGATCGGTGCATCTGAAGAAGCCAAAGGATTCTGCTTGTATTATCTCAGTGACCCATGCAATAACTTTGTAAAGAGGGCCAAAATTTGCGGGGGTGGGGTGAGTTCCCACACAAAGTGAGGTGGGCTTAGTTTATTAGCACCCATGCACTACATTTCTATAGTATCGAAGCGCTTTGCATACATTAGGTCAAAAGGATGGGTTGGTCTGCCTTGGAGCAGTAATACTTTTCAGATGTTTGAAGTGATGGTGTGTATTCTGTACAAAGCTGCGGTAAGGAACACTTAAATAATGGATTCCAATCCTTTTGATGGAGATTTGGGAAGGAGGGTGCTGAGGCTGAGTGAGTAGTGGCTTAGTTAGGGCCACCCAGCAGCTTGGTGGGTTGCGTGAGGTTTGAATCTTGAACCTGCTTGGTTGTCCTGAATATTCCCTAAGATAGCAGGCAGCTCGGGGTAATTAGAGACAGTGCCACGTTCTCCTATTGTTAGCCCTTATATGTGTCATATTACCCCTGTAATGTAGGCTAAGTGGCAAGAACTGGGCTGTTGTGGTTGCTCAGTGAACTTCCTGCCTGAGTGAGAATCCAGCATCTTAGATTTTATTGCTTTGGGAAATGGAAAACATTGGGGGTGGTTCTGAATGAGGGCACGGCATTCAAGCTGTTGACTTCAGGTACAGAATGAGATAAGTAGAATGGATGTGGGTGACTTTTTAGCAATAATTCTAGATGGCAAAAAACTCTTATGGTTTTTATCTGCCGTGAATTGCCTGGAGTGTCGCTGAACAGCAGGGTGCTAAATCTGCTTTTGAAAGCCAGCAAACCTTCCTTTGCTGCTGCTGCTGTTTTCAAAAGCAAGTTTGACTGTCCTGTGTTCTTTCCTCAAGTGCATAGCTAAATCTGAAGATTGGACGGTGTACAGGGATTCAACAGGCTGGCCAGTAAATAAACCTTCCCCCTCCACTTGAATATTTGCAATTAGCGAGCTGGAGGGGATGCGAGTAGCCTTGCAAAGAAGTCTATGAAAGTTGCTAGGCTTGTGGATGCCTTATTAGTCACTGTTGCCTTATTAAAAAAAAGAACAATCTTGTAAATCTTCCCAGCTTGCCTCAAGGCAGTCAATTCCAACCACAAGTTGCTGGGCAAGTGACAATTGACAAGCCTGTATTAATGTTTGTAAATGTAAGGAGAGGAGGTGTGTGTGTGTGTGTGTGTGTGTGTGTGTCCCCTTCTTAGCCACCTCACTGCCACCTCTCTCCTAACATACTGGATCGTGAGCCCTGTCCTGTCCATATTTAAGTAGAGATGGAGAGCCTATGGCCTTCCAGTTGTTGTTGGACTCCCATCTCCCTGGTCATCCCTGGCCACTGGACATGCTAGGTGGGGCCAGTAGGAACTT